ATGCCACCATGCATGGGTGTGAGTGCCTTCAGTGCCTGCATTCCTCCGTGCATACAGTTCTTGTTCTAAGATCCTATGGTGTGCACGGGCCTTATCCTACCCCTTGACCTACACTCGAAAGAACTGCTGTTTTGCTTCCAAATCGCGATGGATCATTCTACTCAGAAAGTGACAATCACTGTCCATACATCGTCCATCACCTGCAGCTTTGGCTGTTCTCCTCCCTCATTTATGTCACGGCCAATCATCAGAAAGATTTAGACATTGTCTGAGTTATGTTTTCCTAATGTTCTATAATTTTCTGATACATTGGCATCTTGGTGGGCGAATGCTTTGTGAACTCAGGTTGTGAAGACGATCTGTCGGTTCGTTCTGTGTCAAGCGGCCTGTCGACACCAGCGTTTACAAAGATGGCATTCGGTCGAGGAGTGTGCGGCCGCAGGTGGCCTTCTATGAGCCACATCGGCTGATCCCACAATCGACTCTCCCGAAGGTGTCTGGATCAACAGGGAATCACCATCCTCTTGCCGTGGGCTTGTGCAGGCTCTTGAGTGGATGATCTGAGCAGGACTCCTGGTCAGCTGGATGAGTTTCTCTAGACTCTAGACCTTGTTGGAGACGATCCGAAAGAATAGGAGCCTTCTGCTGCACCACCATCTGTTTCGTGGCTGCATCCCACTGAAGGAAATTGCAGCTCTTGTCCGCAGAATCATCGCAGCAGCATCCAGAAGAGCCACAGGAGAGAAAGGGAGACAAAATGAGACAAAAGGCAAGAATCATCTGAATCTTGACCCAGGATCATTCTATGCAAGAAATGACAACCCTCACAGCAAAGCTGTTTTGGGAATAAGCAAGCTAAAGGCTTGAAGGAGGTTAAAGCTTACATTACATAATATATACATAGGTTCAGTTAGATGAAATAATTCATACCTGAGGACGAAAGCCAGGAGCTGCCAGACGAGTGTCTCTTTTTCTGGCGGGCGTCGCGGCACAAGACACACGGTCGGCAGCTTGCGAGTCAGCGGCGCCGCGGATGCGGGGGGGGTATGTAATGGTGATGGAGGGAGCAGAGAAGCAAGCCGGGCGGCTTTGGGATAAGTTTGGTATGAAAGAAGTAGTGAAAGAGAATTGCGATACGTTGTGTGTTGGTGTAGGTCATCATCACAAGGCAATGGCATGCGTTTGTCACATGCAGGAAGGTATGCGTCTTGTCGAAGTTGGAAGGCGACATCAGCGTTAGCGAAGGGGAAATACCGTCTGAGTTCGAGTGGCGGGATACCACGCGCGCGCAGGAAGACCTTCTCCATAGTCAGCACGGCCGCTCGCGAGTACGGCGTGCGTTTGAAAAAAAGCAGTTGTGTGTTTGTTACATTTGGAGTGTTTGAAGTTTGCAATGCATACTGCGGCGCGTCGAAAAGCGGCATTCGTTGATTTGGAAGAGTGCACGGGCACGTCTTAGCCGGGACACGGACGTTTGATCCCGCGGCGCAGAAGGGGAGGCCCAGCGCGAGTAGCTTGGGCTAGCAAAGGAGTGAGGATTTGTGCGCTTATCGATGCACATGCCTAGACTTGAGTGAGTCATGTCCTGGCTCGATCCAAAACACAATCTTTTCCCTTTAAAGGGGCCTTTCTTAAACGATCCAAACAAACACATTCTTTGTTCTTCTCTTCCTTATCAACTCTGCGCCTTTCTCAGAGGCCTTGACTTTGGCACCTGCGCGTGTAGATCTTTGGGCCGCGGCCCCAGGCTGACTGGATTCGGCCAGGGCTGCCTGCAAAAGGGCGACGTCATGAGTCAGTAGTATATAGAATTTGTCTGTCTATCTATCTATCTACCTATCTATCTATCTGCACCGGCAAGCCGGAAAAACGTTCGGTGCAAGTATAGTTTTTGCTAGGGGGCAGGAACCCTATGCAGATATGTAGTCAACCTCGCAGGCATCCCCACCGAAACTCAATCCAAATTCATGGACTTGAACTCATATCACTTTCGGTTCTCTATGGATTTCGCGAGTTACGGGTTGTCCTGGGAACTCGTATCCTACATGCAGTTGCGCTCTGCTCTGTACGTGGGTCCCTGTCTCCGCTCGATTGCTCAATGCCCATTGCAAAGCCCTTCATGATGCTAATGATGCACTACTCGGCCTCCATTACATCATTCGCATCACCAGACCCCATTTTCACTGCTTTTCTGACCCTCGCTTGGAGCGCTCTCCCAAGCTCTGGGTTCACCCTATCAAAAGGTCCTCCTCAGCGACCACCCCCCCCAACACCCCCTTAACTCACTTCGGTCGCCCTAAAAGCTCAAGCCTAGCCTATCGGCTGGCTTTCGTAATAAACTGATACATATGATGGAGACCCACAGACTGCGCAGCCGCGTGCAACTTTCGGGTAGGGCTTATTTGCAGGTTTGTGCAGGGTCCAGGAAGGCTGGTGCCAGTCACGCATGGACGCTATGTTTGTTTGCGCAGCATCATGTGCGGGTAACTGCGTTAAAAAATGCACGCTGCTTGCACATATGCATTGCATGGTGTGAGACCGCTAGGACATGCTAAGACACAGTGGCAACCAAGATGTATCTATGAAGCTTGAGCTATGATTATTGGGCTCAAACTCTTCCACTTTCTGCATGTATGGGTGTATGTATTTAGTTATATGTATGTCTACACATGCGTGTAACATATGGACTATGCATGTGTCTATGTACGCCATGCAGTGTGCCAGCTTTCTCCATGTCACACAGCGACACCAAGCGTGATGGACGTCACCATTCGCAGCATTTACGCACGCATGTTTCCCGTTCACCAAAGGGAGCTACGCAAACGCGCTTTCCACTAAGGCCTTGCCAAACTGCCGCCGCGACATACACGTAGTCTCGACACACTGTGTTCCACGTACTAAATGCAGCTCTGTGACACCAAGCCTCGTTGACACCACCAATCATGCGGCTCACCAGCGACACGCCGGGTTGGCACGCGCATGTTCCGTTCACAGATGGCACAGAGACACGCAAAGGCACTTTCCATCGAGGCTTCGACAAACCGTGTTGCGTTTTCGAGTAGCGTAGCGGACTGTCCTTCTCGTGCTCAGATCCGTGATCTTGACAAGGGCTTCGTGGATGTTTCATCAGATGCCATTAGAGCTCTTGGTTCCTTGAATGTATTTAACTTCAGCGACTAGAAGTCTTGCAGAGAGAGCGTTGAATCCTCGTGCTAAAATGCGTACCCCAGGGTTAAAAAGCGTCCACGAACGTCCTTCACTTCCAGGGGCAACATGGCCGATCTTCCCAGACTGCCTAGCTTTGCTGATCTGGAAACTCCAGAACCGCTTCGGAGTTTGCTGGCTGACCGCTACCTTTCAGGCCTTCACCGGATTTCTGCGTATGGGGAACTCCAGACTTTTCTCAATCAGTGGGCTCGTGTGGGCGGCAGGAGCTCTGAGTGCGTGCAATTCTTTCTGCAGTGGTGTCCACTGATTGAGCAGTACAACTGTGCTTGGGAGAGATGCTACTTTGGGGATGATGGATGATGCTGGGCTGTGCATCCATGATCGTGGGGACCGCCATGCCTCTGAGCAGGCTAATGAAAAGGTGACTCTGCAAGCTTTGACCGATGAGTGGACTGGATGGTATGGCATGACCACTGGATTGCTTGCAGACAGTCCTGCAATTGGCCTGCTGTTTGACAAAGCCATGCTCCACCGATCGACTGGTCAAAGCCCCCTAGCACCTCCCAGTCTTTCAGAGTGCTGGAGATGTCCTAGTAGCTTCTTGCTCCTAGTAGCGCTTGATTTTCCTCAATACACGGTCATGAGATTGATCCTCCACTCAGGCAGTCTGAACTCAGGCCATTTTCGTGCTTTGTGCCGTGGCCCCGATGGATGGTGGGCCATGGATGACAACACTGGATGGCAACACTGAGGCCACAGCAGGTGACCCTCTTCAAGACCGCTATGCTATGACTTTGACACCATGATGATCTGGATGGTCAGGACGGACCTTGTGCTGAGGTGTGCTCGGCCATGGCAACGCCATAAGAAGACCCGCAAACAGTGTCACACGGTGGCGAAGAGGAAAAGAAAAAGGGATGATGATTCTGTTTTGTCTCTCTTTGTTCCCCAAACAGCTTTGCTGTGAGGGGTTCTCCATTCTTACATAGAAAGGATCCTGGGCCAAAATGAAATCTCTTCCCTTTTGTCTCCTTTGGTCTACCGGGGCTCTGGACTGGCGGCAAACGCTTTTAAGGTTCGCTGGCAAAAGAAGCATTAATTTGCCGCTGCTGTTTGGGGTCGATGCTGGTATAATTTTGTTTGATCGTAGGCAAGTACAAAGAAGCAAAGATTCAGGACGAGGGCAGTCAGGAGGAGGTTGAAAGATTGGTTAGGCATTGTTGAACGCATTATGTGATTTCATGATATGAATATGTTAAAGTAAATTATATTATAATGCTATATCATTTCTATGTGCATATATATATATATATCTATATGTTCAACAACTACGTATATTAGACTGTTATATAGCATGTTTATTGCTATAACAACTATATCAATACATATACAATACGAAACGTTTCAAACATGTGTGTGTAACGGTTTTCTATAGATATAACTATAAATATAAGTATAGTAATACAAACATATGTTGTTTAAAATACTGTACCGTAGATCGCTATTAATTTATAAATACTGATAAACAAAACGATTTTGGCTAGTGATTGTCAATGAAGGCAAATTGTTCAATTGTGATACAAGAATCCTAATGTTGGAGCTGTCCGGGCATCCCATTGTTACATGAAGGTCTCCGCGTCCACATGTTGTTCATCGCTGCTGTGTGTCTGCAATTCTATCAATTATTGCAGCACACCAAGTTCACAAACCCTGGGATCCCAGAACAGCATTGCAAGTGAAACGCTGAACACGCCAGATGGCGCGATCACTGTTCGCAAAGCCAGCCTAATTGGGTAAAACTAATGGAGACTGAAAAGGACCTCATATTTTTAGCCGTAGGCATGAGACAATTACAAGTACCACCTGGAACAGTGCCACTGGATAAAGAATCTGGTTGCTACCTTCTGTAGCAACGATTTCAAATGATTTCAAATCTACAACCTTCAGGAAACCAAATTCATTGATCAGATTGTGCATTCATGGTCTGTGGATTCTGGATCTCGGCGCGCTGTTCATCGCCACTGCCATGGTGGACCAGTTCCACAGGAAAGCTCACTGAGTGTTCAACCACTCCTCTAGAGAGACCGTTTCTCTCTGCAATCCACTTCAACCTGCCACCCAAGAAACGGGCAGGCACACAACAATCTTCACATGGATTCAGCATTTAGATCTCCCTTTCAAAACGTCTGCAAAAATCACCGGCCAACCCCTCCATGCCTTTCTCCCATCCACAAACATCGAGAGGCAAATGGCAAAAGTGTCACGCTCCTCCACAAGAACCCTCCAATTGTGAGATCTTTCGCAGAAAAGGTGATTGAACACCGAAAAACTCACTCAGTGCAGGTGACTCAGGTCGTTCCTCCAAATCTATGAACTCCAACACGATTGATGGACCATAGCCTGACAAGCAAGGGCTTGGGTCCTTGTGAACGCAAGGACTTGGAACTAAATAGTAAAGTGACAGAAACTCAACACCAAAGTCTTTGTGAAGGGACCACTCACCACCTTCATCCAAGAAAATGGTGACGGAGAGCTCAGTGGCCATGAGGCGGCCCTGATCGGAAGGTGCCACGAATGAGACTGCACGCTCTCAAATGCCAAAGGCCAAATAGTTGTCTTGCTGTTCTTTTCTTGCTTTCTTCCTTCACATATCCTCGGACCATCCAAGTTCATACATGGCCTCACCAGGGCTGCAGCAGCCAAACGCAATACTGGCAATGCTTGTGAGCCTCGATTCTGGCAAAACCTCTGGAAACAATGAGAATCATGCAGTGAACACTGGCCTGGGGGGCCATCAGGTTTTCCTTCGACTTGCTCAGTCCCTAGCGGCACCGCCAGCTGTACAGAGACGTCAGCCTCACATTCCGAAATATGTGTCACGATTTGTTACTTGAGAAAACACTACTACTACGCATAACACGACTTTTAAAAAAAAACAAAGCAAATCAAAGGGGTCCACACCCAATATATATATATATATACTCTGTTGTTTTCTTTTGCTGATGTCTGTTTCTCCAAAACTGAAGTCGGTGGAATCTGTCTCCGGCAAAGTTGCGCCAAGGCATGCGCAGTGGGATCAGAAGATCGCACGCAAAGCTTTTTCATGCGTTTGTCCAACGAAACAATGACATTCTGTCCGCACCTCAGATGAAAAAACGAATGGATGGCCATGGCCAAGCACCTATCAACATCTCATCACTTAGAGTCTGACATGCCTGGCCAAGCCTCAGCATAACATGCACGGCTCAATTTCACTCAAATCTAGACCGTAATGCAGCTTACTCCATACAGCTATCTTACCTGCCCTCCCCCACCACCTGAAAAGTGTTGCCATTGAAACCAACTGAGTGCCAAGGCCGGTGGAATCGTGGCATTTTTTCCGTTAAGCATGTCGCGAACAAATTTCCTGTGCCGATTGGTCCGCAAAAATGCCACTCAGATCGCAAGGCCAGTCTTGTCCATATCACATGTCCGTGTTCCAATCCTTTAACTTAAAAAAGTGTATCCACGGGCAGCAGGCTTACCAATCTTAAGTTCTTGCAACTCCACGGAAGCTCTGCGAGCCTCACCAATTCCCTGGCTGGGCTTGATCCTCCAACCTCACGGCCGTCTTCTCTCACACTGCAAGTTCCGGAAGGCTGAACGACTGGATGTTTCATACAATACTGACTGTTGTTCTGAAGTGGAGGCAATGGAACAGGAGCGTGCACTGACATGTTCTCCAAAGTGACTGTCAACACACATCGCAAGTGGTTGGAATGATTGGACATTTGGACTCAAAATGGTTCGTCCGTCCACTACTAAAGCATATTAAAGCAACAACTCGCAACCTGACCAATGAACTACCCATGACTACCCTTGAACGAGGCCAAACATGTTTGTTTCATTGAAAATCCAAACTTGGTTCAGATGTGGCCTCTTCACTGTCCAATCGATCAATCGATCCCAAAGTTGTCCATTTTCCAATTGCCGTATGCGTTCACTGACTTGCCTGGTTTGTGGTTTTTGCTCGTTGTTACATTGGAGATTGCTGAACTGTGTTCTGCAATTCGTGCTTCAGCGATGAGTCTTCCCATCCCTATGCAGAGCTTCCTAAACATTGTATTTGCAGTGGGAAAGCACCAATTGAAAAGGCTCCCCGCCGTCGTCTCAGAGTGAGGAGCCTCCAGGGGATTCCTTTCAGGGCCAAATGAAAGACGTGAAACTTGTTACTAGTAGCTTCTTGTTCCTAGTAGTAAGGCCAGGAGCCCC